AGTCAACCTTTATAGTGATGTGTTCTGGACTGACATCTTAATTATTACAGCATACATTTTGTGATTAGCACATTCCATGTACAGCTGATCTACTGTATATATAATAAACAAAGGTTCATATATCAATTTAAGACCTGTGGTAACTTTCAATTAATAAAGTCCAATGCATGCTAGCCAAATTCATGGACAAATGGGAAATTTGTGTTAGCTTATTTTTGTAATCATATGATAGCTTCGCTGCTAATATGATGCTTTGAGCTCAGAAGGCTTTCAAGGGCATATCTGTGGTGTCCTGCCCATTACAGTTTTTGAAAGTAGTCACCAACCAGGAAGGAACTATATAGTTTCACAAAATGCCTTTCCCTCACATGCAAATTATTTGTTGGGTATAATATAGCTCTTATTGATGTGGATTTAATCAGTTTTCAGCCATTTCCACGTTTTTCATTTGTCCTTCCAGTTTTTTTATTTCCCTCTCTTATTAAAAAACACTTTCTTGAAAAACATGGTTAGTGCATTAATAAACAGAATGTCTGTAACATACCTGGTGCATTAGGATCCGAATAAGATGCAGGGGTAGGTGGTGCTTGAATCTTGTCCCTATTTTGGATTGGCTGCATGTCAGATCTGGTTATCCCACAGACACTCCAATGTAAAAACATTTACTTGGTTCTCTTCTTTATCCAAAATTAGATGTAATTTTCCCAAAAAGTGAATAAAACTTGCTAACTTCAACTTCAATATACTGTACAGGAAACCAAATGAATCTGTGCTTTTCATTAAAAAAGAGCTCAACAAGCAAAAAATAATGATAATTCTAGGTGTTATGTGCTGAGGATAAAAAAAAACTGAAGAATAAATGCCAAATCCGGCTGTTTTTTATTATGTATTATAGTAAACTGGTAAGGAATGTACAATATTTTCACTTTTTTGAACGTGAATAGCTCAATTTTTTCAAAGATTGAAAAATTAAAAATTGAACTTTTTTGTGGAAAATGTTGATCAAGTTTTTCCATCTCCAGCCATTGCCCAGAAGTCAGGTCACATTCTTTCAAATTCTCAGTGTTCTTAAGTTGAATCTTCCATATGCTCCGGGGCATCAGCATGTCCGGGTCTCACTGTTTTCATATGCCATCACATCCATCATGCCCTTCAGTTTTCATAAAAAAAACTAGAAACAAGGTTGACTGTTTATCTTTTTTTTCTTCAGGTGATGACTGCAGTGTGGGATGACGAAGGATTTCCCACGGAACACATAGGACCACTCTACGTTCGCTGCAATACTCTGGAGCTACCCTGGAAGGTGGACAACTCCCAGTGTCACACCATTGACCTTCTGCGCACCTTAGGCAATGCAACTTTGTCGTGGATGAACGATCCTGGCCTGAAGATGAAAGCAGATGATGTTTGGGGAGCTCAGTGTGGAGACAAGGACAATATTGAAGCAATGGTTGTGCTAGATTTGCATGCGACCTTATACAATGTGGAGATAATCGAATGCTGCAGGCTCATTCAAAATTAATGCCAGTCCTGTCAGTATATAGGGAATGAAGATCAAACATGTAGTATTGTTGAAAATAGCACAAATTAAAAATCACCCAGTTCATATCATTGATGCATTGCATGATTATGCATTTCATTGTTTGCATATATGTACACGGTGGGCTAAAAAAGTGAACAAATTTTTTTACTCAAAATGGCTCACTAACAAATTGAGCTGTGGCAATGAAAAAAAAATGAAAGCTTGTTCATGAAAACCGGGAGGCCTTGCGGCTCCCAATGATGAAACTGATCTTAAGTGAAGTTTAATTCAAGTTGAGTTTCAGTTTAACTCAAGTTGAGTTTTGGTTTAACTCAAGTTTAGTTTCAGTTTAACTCAATAAGTTGAGTTTCAGTTTAACTCAAGTTGAGTTTCAGTTTAACTCAAGTTGAGTTTCAGTTTAACTCCAGTTGAGTTTCAGTTTAACTCAAGTTGAGTTTCAGTTTAACTCAAGTTGAGTTTCAGTTTAACTCAAGTTGAGTTTCAGTTTAACTCAAGTTGAGTTTCAAGTTGAGTTTCAGTTTAACTCAAGTTGAGTTTCAGTTTAACTCAAGTTGAGTTTCAGTTTAACTCAAAGTGAGTCTCAGATTACATCGAGTTGAGTGAAACTCAACTTGATATGAACTGAAATCAGTTCTGAAATCAGTTGCTTGCCTGGGTAAATTCAGTGGAGTTTCACTCAAAATCAGTTGAGTGAAACTCAACTTGAGTTAACTGAAACTCACCTTGAGTTAACTTAAACTCACCTTGAGTTAAACTAAAAGTCAACTTGAATTAAACTGATTTTTAGTTTCACTTCAAAAAAGTTTCATTCAAAATCATTTTCACTCAAATCAGTTTCTGTGATCAAGTCATCCAGAAAAAAAAATGTGAATCCTGTTGATCATTGGGAGCCGCTAGGCCAGTATAGAGCCCAGCAGCACATATGCATAATGGGAGCTCTGCAGCATCCTATCTTGCCAATTCCTTCCCCCTTTTTTCAACCGCTCAGTCTGAATTTTGGGAACATGTGCAGGCTTTCCAAGACAGCATGAAATTTGCTGCTTACATTATTCCATCATTAATTTCCTTCATTGATGCATATAGCTCTCCAGATCAGCAGCTAAGTCACCTGACAACTTTTTTGAAAGGTTTCATTGAAATGGTTCTTGTGACCATTCTGTGGCACTTGCAACCATAAAATGTTATGCCATTTCAAAGATAATTGAACAAGCTTTCATTTGGTTTTTTCATTGCCACAGCTCAATTTGCTAGGGAGCTATTTTGAGTTTTTTTTTATTTCTCTTTTTTTCCGACCCTCTATATGATTGCAAACAACTGAGTAAATGTGTTCTATCAATTCAGAGTTTCTGCTATTTAGAGAAAATAACTTCTAACGTGTATATACTGTTGTAATCCCTATACAGAGCATCTCAACAAAGATATATTCTCTCTATAAAACGTTTTTCTGGTCCCAAGAACATTGCAGATACTGTATATACTGAAGTCTATATATTGTATACCTTCAATCATGACCTCATTCAGCATAATGTTAATTGCTATACTGCTGTAAAAAAAGTTTTTTAGTGCACCATTGCTCGACAGTATAGAGTATTTTATATAATTCCTGTTTTTGAAGCACTGGACTTTTCTTTGAAGAATACTGGAAAATACACCTTGTCAAGTTTAAAAAAATATGGAAAACTATCCATTTTTCTTTGGATAAAAATATTCAATTTTTGCAGTGCACATGGAAAGGTATTCAACACTTCCAATAAATGAAAAGATGCTTATTTGTGCTGTATAGTTAATCCTATTCCATCAAAATTGATTTTGACTGACTCAAACGTCAAGTGCAGTGCAGACGTATGCCACGGGTTTCCAAAACCTATGCTCATCATGAGTGAAGCATTTTCTGAGCAGAAAATTCATAATTCCTTCGGAAAAGGAAATCTGAAAAGTGTCATTTCACATTGAGCGAAACAAAACAATCTCGCGCGCTACCTCACAAGCATTTACTATACTTCATGTAAAAATATTTTGGATAATCTTGCCCAACAATTGGACAATTACAGTTGTTGATCAAACTGCAGCGTGACCAAAAAATTCTTTGTGAAATGATACATCAAATTTTTATTATAAATGTGCAGTATTTTGAATCTGCGTGTATATGCACCATGAAGTTGCATACATTTACTGTATCTTTGCGCAAGAACTCGGGGATTTTGATGCGTAAAGAAATGATCTATTATTTTATTCACAATAAAATGGAATCTCTTACTGGTAGGTAGCTTTGAAAAATTCTGTTTTCCTTTATACAGGTGTTTCAAATGAAGTTTTGTTCCACTCACACGATGCATATACAGCAGAACAAATAAATCTATCTTGATTTATCTATATGTTATAGGGTGAGATATCTCCAGAATCTTTTAGGGATTTAGGCTATAGACAATTTGTCCTGTGTTTTCGCAAGCAAGGCTTGATGGTTTTAGTTAGTAGACAAAACTGTTGTTTTTAGTTAAAATAAAAACTAAAAGTGCTGATTTTTGATGGACTCACAATCAGGCCAAACTCATCTATAATTTGGCTGATTACCCTCACTCATTATGTTGCCTCAATACAATGTACCAGGATGAATGATGGTACAAAATAAAGGGTTGACTGCTGGAAGATCTGCTTCTGACGCTAATTACAGCATATTTACTCAAGCACCACACGCACCTTTTTTTCTAGAAGTTTAGGCAAAATTAGGTTGGACAAGGCACTTATTGGGTATAAATCTGCGGGGGGGGGGCGGAGGGGATTGTGGAAACAATTAGTGAGTCCTTTTATTTCAAAAAAAAATGAATGGGAAATGCATGTCAGCAAGCTTACTTTTCCATCAGAAATATTGGTCAATGAAATAACCATTTCAGGTATTGGGACTCCAGTGGAAGGAAATTGAAGAAAAACATTTATCTAATTGACAAAGTCATGAAATGTGATCAAAGTTCAACTGTTATTGTAGGAGAAACAATTAATGCAGAAGAAAATTTATAAACCTGCCCAAAAGCCTCAAGATTTAAAGGTTTTTTTTAGCAAAAAAAACTTGGGTGTTGGGGTCATTTTTTGGACGATTTTATCAACAACAAAAACGGGTGCGAGCTCCAGTATACAGTAGTCCAGTGCGCGTGGTACTCCAGTTAGATATGGTGTAGTCCAAAAATGCAACACTGTGTAGTCCGCTTCAGCAATATTGTACCAACATCACTGCGCTGTGATGCGTAACGGTAGCAAATATGATCACTCAAACAATTTACTTTATAGTACTGTACTGTACTCAGTATTGATGCATGTTTAACCACATGTACAGTACTGCACTGGTGGGCAGCTCGGGGGATCCCCACGGAATCGGGTTTTCCATATGTATGTATGTAGTGACACCTATACAGGAGGTTATCAAGTGAAAACAGCCCTGCCCTCTGCGATAAATCCAAGCCCAATGCGAGTGGTCGTTGTTGATTGCCTCGCTTGCAAGGTTATTGAGGACTTCGGAACATCGCACAGGCAAGGAATACTTGTGAAGCGCGTGATAGTTGAACTTCTTAGCAGATCGTTAGTATCCCGTGTGCAATTCTGGAGTGAAAATGGTCAACAGTTCTGGAAGATGTTAGGTGACCATCGCTCACCGAAAGATCGAAGGTCTCGGCGGAGCGTAAGAACGACTAGGATCTGTGCACAACTTCTAGAAATGAATTCCGATTTTCGCATCTTTGAGTTACGATGAAGTGGTGCATCGACCGTGGATGTTCAGCTCTATATCGTGCGTAGTGACCCTTCGGAACGACGAGTGTTACAGTATACGATTGCCTGAAACTGTATTGTTGTCGAAGATGCATGGATTGACAACTTAGAAACTAATACGTTTCTCACAGGATGAATATTACTTCGGGCACGCGTGGTCCACGACAGGAAAATTTTGCCCCAAATCGCCATTTCGTAAAAGAGGAATACATTCAAGGTCCCTACATTCGGCAAAATGTATCTTACGACCAGAGGAGTGAACGGTTCCTCGTCAAAGACGAAGGGGGTTACCGCGATGACTACTCCGTGAATTTCCCGAGAGTTTCAAGGGTACGTTCGATTCATCTTTCTCAATTCCCATCTGAACATCCGTGAAGCTCTGCTCATGTGCCAGGATGATCGAAGTAGAATTTCGTGTAACTTTCTTGCTTGGCCTCGCAATTCCATCGAACTGCACCTCACTGTTTCCGTCTGGTATGTTAAATTTTTCCGTGATGACGCTATTTTTATCGGCCGACAGGAGGTCGAATTACGCCATAGACATAGAGATGGTCCTAGTTCAGTTTCCCGATTGCAACCTCTTCCGAGCAGCAGAAGCCAAGGGCCGGAGTTCAGAGCAGCCAACGTGGACATGCGAAGATTCTCTCGTCATCCCGTGAGACACGAGCACGTCAACGTCGATGGACCCTTCCTAAGTTATGGGGACGGCGTTGGAATGCATCCTGAACGGTCGGTTTCTGTAATTCTTTTCACATTAACTGAGAGACAAAGAGCGTAAAGCCTTCGCTGAATGTTTTCATCTTCGCTAAGCAATGAGATATTTTCGTGGAACTATTTTTACATTCTTGAATGTCGTGGGAATAGTACACTTGAAAAGTTGAAATTTCGAAAAGATTTTGAGCATACGCCAGAAAATGAACTATTCTTTGCGCAGCTTCGGCGAGAAAATTCGACCATTTCGAGGGAACGATCCGTTGAGGGATTTGAAATCCGTAAGTTGCGTTTATCTATGCGTCGATACAAGTAAAATTCGAATTTTTGTGCAGAAACTATTGGGAGTATTCAACGATCTTGAAGCCGAAGCGTTGGTGGAAGCAAGACGATTTTCGGAACTGGAATTGAAGATGAATTCCAACCAAGACTTCCGGAGACATTTTCCCTTCGGCGTATTTGGGTGTCACATGTGTCGCATGTATCAGCGAACTATGTCTGTAAGAAATCGGCCCATTGATTCAAACGTTTACCAGAGATATGTACTGTATATGAAGAGATATTGAAGGATGCCATATTTCCGTTTTCTTTTTTATGTATTCAGGAACTCCTGACGCACTTGAGCTCTAGCGTACATCTAGCAACTCAGGAGCGAATACGAATTGCGTTGCAAAATATATCCGATGGTCTCATCAAAGAAGCCCAACGCATGAACGCCCTGGAAAGTCGCAATATACCTCAGGAAAGAATGACTCCTTGTGAAGTTTGCATGTCGTCCTTTGCGGGTTCAATCTGTAAGCATGAAGAGTCAGCTCATCACCGCAAAATCCTTGAATTCAACTGGTTTGATTGTCGATCATGCAATGTTCGCATTATGGAGCGAGCCCAGTCACATCGACATATTCTTACTGCTCAACATATCAAGGTTGGTCGAAACTTGGGTGCGCCGCATGATTGAATATTGCTCACCATTCATCTTTATTTTCCCTTCCTATGCAGAACACACTCGAGCGGCTTGGATTCAACTCGGGACACTTAGATTTGGACAAGTGTGAGTATTATTGTGCCGGTTTACGTCTTTGTGTGATTTTAACCGGAATGCCATTTTTATCTTTTAGTTACTCCGGCTGATGATTTGCTCGCGTCGTTGATACCAAGCCCCTCTCTTGTGCCTGATGAGGATTCGCAGGATAGTATTTCATATGCGCATCCTGCGAGAGCTGGAGACGACGCTGACGATATCGTTGGAATGATAAAAATACCTGACAGACACAACCATGATGTACCTCTGGGTCTCGACATGATCGTGGATGCCTACGAGTGTGGTTGTTGTAATAAGGTCAGTAATAATCGTCAATGCTAGTTCACCCATGAAGTGTACATTGTTCTAAAAAAAATAAACCCTAGCAGAATGTATACTCACCTTTCCTGATAAAACATCTTATCCTCTCAGTATTGATAGCGTAAAAATCAATGATTTTTTCGAAATAATGCAGTACAGTACTAATCGTAACTGTGTAATTATAAAAGAGGGACGAAGTACAGTACTTACAGCCAGGTTGTCCCTTTCTGAATAAAAGTAAGTCTGATGGAAGTTTATTGCATTACGAATTAGGAATTTGCTACATCATTCAAATAAAATGTTTTTCTTCTGTAAATGCTCATGGTAGTCGTGAAAATATCCTAAAACATGCCTTTGGGATATTTTCCGCCACTATTAAAAGGAAAGGGCTTTTTCAAGTTGTCAAGGAAAACCTTTCGTATCGTCTTTGAAAATGGTAGGATTTGCACCTTTATCCGCGAGGAATCAATAGTGGTCTGTTCATCTGTTTTTCGTGCATCGCATGTAGGCTTGTTGCGATCGTGATTCTTGTTTTACTTCTTCCAGGTTCACGAGAAGAGTTCTGGGATGGTCAGAGAAGTTTTCTTGTGTCGAGTGTGTAATAAAAGTTTCAGCTCCAAGGACGATGCCCATGGAAAACACAGCCGATCGGGAGACCACTTCATTCATTATTCGAATTACGCGCAACGTCATAATGCTCGTCTTCGGGAGCAGAGACTCCAGGGCAAAGCTGGAGATAACAGGAAATTTCGAATCGAGTTCGACGTTTTCGAGTGTGAAGATGCCTTCGTAAGTATTGAATTCTTCTTTGTTATCCTTTTTGAATTCTTTTACATACTGCCTGTTGCGAAGTACTCAGGATGTTGAGTTATTCATCATTTAAGTGGCCCGCTGCGCTGCGGCATTGCTTTTCCCATCTGCCTACTCCGTGTGAAGAGAAGATCAATCGGTAGAGGAATCTTGTACTCTTGAAATTCACAGGGATTGCTCTTTGTATGTCACGTTCACGATGTAATATTTTATCGTAGTTTTCCATTCATTCAGCCACGTTTGTTCACGTGACCTCTACCCAAACGCGTCACTAAAAACTTGTTGACATATTTTGTCTTCGTCACCGACTTTCGCCCCCATGCGTATTTGCGAAATAAATTGCAGATAATCTTCGTCGATAGGAATGCACAGTGTGTAACTGATAAGTGACGTATAAAAAAGTATGTGCATCTAAAAACGAATGCTTCGAGAATTCATTAATGCCCTAGTATTCGTGGTATGATATTCATTTGGGGAAGAATTCGTATCATACTTCAATCACGCACGGTAGTAGAATACAGTACTTGAAAATCGCTCAAAAACTGCTGTTGAAAAGACTCATTTAGTAAATCTGAAAGAGAAATCGGTAAATTCATCAAAAGAAAGCTCTTTCGTATCTTCTTCTGTGAATCTGACACGCATGGAACAATGAGGAAATTCGTACTCCGCTAAATTTTCTTCTGTCATCTATCAATTTCGAAGTACGGAAGTGATCTTTGTTCCGGCCAGAAGTAACAGAGGTGTGGTTATGTCAGTCCAGGTTTTTTCTATGGTAAATTTGCGATTATTCTGTTGAAAATGCATAAAATTTCGTCTCATTGTGAAGAGACGAGCGGGATCGATGAGCCTCGTAAAAATAACTAGAGCCCGTATTTTGCCTACGAATGAACAAATCATGCGGGCTGATTTGCATGAAGATTTGTGGGAAATGTCGATATTATTTTTTGTCATACTTGAGATTTTGTATGCTTCCGATCACGTGAAGAGGCGCCGTGTTTTCGGTACAACTGCTGATATGTAATTGAATTTATGCCGTATAGATGGACTTTCCTTGCAACGACAAAGGGACCAGCTAAACATTCGTAGAGCCCTATGGGAACACAACAAAATCTTCCAATTCGACTCCTCTTTGAGTCGAATTTTTTCCAAGTCCGTCTGAATTCCCTTAGAAACAGTGCATTAAAAACCTCGGTAAAAGCTTTCACTCTCGAATCTCTGTAACTCGAATTTTCTGAGGCCTTTTGGCTATTATTTTCTAGAAACTGGAAGCAGAAAGGCTATGAAAAACTAACACAATGTGTATTGAAAAGAAGTTGAAGAATTATTGAGCAAATTAACCCTTGCCTCCAAGTTCAGCATCTTGTCAACTTTATTTGAGAAGCAAATGTATGCCCAGAAAATCATCATTTGCAATTTTTCTATCTTTCCCACGCAAAAAATGTTCGTTTCCCTTACTCGAATTTTTTTTGCTGGTCCCTTGAAATTTGACGGAGTTTTGACTATACCTGTATTAAGTACAGTGAAAATCATTGTAGAGAGAGTCCACTTATATTGGGTCAAGTCCAACGCTATCCAAGGTTAAGCAGAGGTAGCTTCAACCCTTTTCCGTGCTTCAAGCGGACATCAAGGAATCCAAAATGTATTTTGAGTTGCTGAACCCTCTTCTTACTGCACTGATCAAATGACACTCTCCGACAAACCGATTTTATCGAAAGTAATTTCGAGCGTCGACGATTAACGTTGATTCTTATCCGACATCAATCAATTTCATGCTTTTCATCTTCTTTCGCAGACACCTGGTCCAGCGTTAGCCGTACCGCTGAAAGAAGAACCAGTTGATCCCGACTTTCATCCCGCTTTTCTTCATCCCCATGTTTCCGACGCCACTGAAAGACCAGATCGGTCGCAACCGACACGCGATGTTGAAAGTCGAGAGCGTGGCGACAGTTCTGAGCCTGGCGTAGGTGCGGAATCTGTGCGTTGGACGTGTCCCGTAGTTTCCCCTGAAGATCAAACGCCACGAACAGAATCGAATGCAGATTCCAACCATCGCCCCACTACTGTTGTTATGGACTGTCCTTCGCCAGAGACCATTCCTACAGGAAAGATTAGCGTAGCCACAACGTCGCTCTTTGCTCCGACTTCTGCCATGACAGAAGTGGTTGGGAAGCGGAAGCAAACCACCAACTTTTCGATACGAAACATCATTTCGGAACAAAGTGAACCTTCGGCAGCGAGGACGACGAGGTTACCAACTGCGTCAGTTCCGGTTGCGGAAACTGTTCCATCATGTGCTGCAGTAACTCCACTTCCGTATTTGCTCGAGGATGGGCCTACGCCTGTCACTCCCGAAGAGGCGCAGCAAGTTCTTGAAAGCATTTCTGAAGAAGCCCCGGGTTTCAGTCAGAACGATTCCGGAGAGAACTGGATGGAGTACGCGGATTACCTCTCGAACTTGGACGGAAATGCTTCTAGTCAAATTTCGAATCAGCCAAACGGCAACATTGAAGTCCTGGACCTGAATTTCTCGAGTGATCCGATGTAAGTTTTTTCCACGTTGAAAACAATGTCGTCTTCAATTATGCTGGATTTCCGGTGTTGAAACGTCAATTCTTATGCAGTTGGACCTCTTGGAGATAAATTCCAAGGGACCAGAAAAAAACGAATAAGGAAGGTTTTGATTTAGGGAAACCATCATTTTTCCCGTGGAAGAGAAAATAATTGAAAGATGAAATTAGTGCTCTTTTTTTCCCCAAAAGTGCCTAGTGAAGAAGGTGACAGAACGCTAAACTTTTTGGCAAAGGTACATTTGCCCAGTTAGTGTTTCACTTCCTTTCAAAAAGGATCAGGTTACATTTTTATGGCTTTTATTTTTCCTTGGTTACATAACTTCCGAGATGCCCCCGGACATTTCGAGTTGTAGAAGTTTTTAGGGGAAAGCCTCTGAGTTACGGAGGTTTTTAATGCATTATTTCTAATGAAATTCAGGCAGGGGTTTGAAAGCAATGGAACATTTGAAGGTTGGAGTAAGCGAGGTTCCGCTGTATCTCATTTTATGAAGGGCTGAGGGGCAAGCATATTGGATAATTAAAAGAGGGTAGGGACCATGCAAAAGAGCTAATTGATTGTCTTTAATTACAGTTCGCACATCTCTTCAGAATTTTAGCCGAGCCCCAAGTTACCGGTTTTATTTTTATTGTGTTTCAAATGTACTAAGATCGGGACGATTTTATTGAACCGTAAGATAATCGAATTTTGTCCGCCTTTTGAGTTCCGTGCCATAATAATGTACTGTAACAAGCTTTTGGCCTTCACAGACTTGGTTTCTCGTCCACCGAATCCCCACTTGAAGCGATCAACTCTCAACCGCCGACACCGGAAGTGAGGCTTAAAACTGTTTCTGAAGCCCAGAAGAAGCCGGAAAGTTCGCCGGCGGCGCCGGTGAGCAATGGTCCGCAAAGGAAGCCCTTTCAACCATTGTTCATGCGAAAAGCGCTTCCTGCACCAACGCCTCCGCAGAAGAAGAAATCAATCAATACGCGCTTTCTGGCCGGTTTGGGCTTTCCGGGACTGAGTTATACACCTCAAGATGAGATCATGCGTGCCAAGGTATTGTTCAATTATGATTACAAGGATCTACTGTAGTCGTAAATCCCGTATATTTTACCACGCCCGAAATCCTGGTTGATGAGTCGAGATGCACGTTATAACCTGATACGAGGTTGAATACATCTTCGGATCACGTAATACAGATAAATTTACGTGTTCATCCAGAGTTGACATGTTCGATGCCTGTATTTTGAACAGCGAAAATGTGAAAATTAGGAGTGCTAGAAAGCTGAAGTGATGTTTTTATCTTCAGTCTAAATCGGGTCTTTTTGCCTGTGTAGCTATCGCAATTTTGCTCTTTCTAAGTCAGAAAAAATGTTCATGCCTGCAACTGGTTACTCATGCATGCTCTAAATTGCTGCGTAGGTAATTGTGTTTCACGATATTTCCCAGTGAAGACTGTTTGTGCGCGTCGCTCACAGGAACGCAGGCATGCACTGGTACGTAATTTAAAACCACTCCTGTCTTATTGGTTTGCCATGAGACAAACATCTTCGCTTCTATTACGTTCGGATGTTTTTGCGAAAAAAAAAATAAATGGCATTGTTTCTTCGTCGAAGATTCATTCAAGTGATCATTCAGATTTCCACGATCATCTGCAGGAACAAAAAACAAAACGAATTGAAATTACTGTCTAGTCTTGTTGATAGCAACCAGGGCTCGCATGGACGTTTTTTGAGCCGTCTTTGTTGAGATTTTTCCTTCTATGTGTCAATGACCGTTTATTCTTTTTTTCTGCTGTCTTGCACTTTTTTCTCACTATACAATGTGGGGTAATCTTATGTATCGGATATCCTTCGCATTAAAGAGCATCTCGTATCACTAGAATTGCCTTACAGGAAGTGCTCAAATGTTTTTTCCAACGAGCCATTGTCTTGGTAATTAGTATTTTCACTGTATGAAGAAATGTAGGCATTTAAAAAATAGTTCCTCACTTTTGCTCCACTTGGATTGTACAATAATGAAATTTATTTTGTATCATTGAATTTATTGTAGTATCAAAATGGTGCACAATAAGCTTCATTACACTTATGTGCCCTCCTTTCTTATTGATAGAATCAGTAGCTGAATAAAAGTGCCAATATTCGTATTTTTATTTTTGTGGCGAAGTTCATCCATATTCCTCTATAAAACAGTGCCCTCATTCTAGTACCTTCTTTATTTGCTTAGTTCCTCAGAATGTCATTTTTGCATCTACTGATTTTGGCACTTCTTCAGGTTTTCATTCTGAATTACTATTTGCTGAAGATGAACAGGGAATTCTGAGTAATTTTTGAGTCACTCGGATGCACTGAGACTTGCAAGAACTCTACAGAGTTCATCGCCTTGAATCAGGCATCCATTAAACGACCGTAATGCTTCGTTTTGTATTTGTTAGGTGGGGAGGTAGGAAAAGAAATAGAGGATAGCAAATGATCCGTATAACGATCGAATGATTTCATTATATAAAGTGCCCTGCTTCCGCATGAAGTGTTGTGTGCGAAAAAGTGGAAAATTGACTGCGCGCCGAAAGAAGACACCCTCCGCACCGCATAACTGAATCCGTCTAAGCCGCGTATTTTTTCGTGCGAGATTGAAGCTTTTCAGGCGTTATTTTAATAGATGAATGCATACCGCGTGTGTGCTTTGTTGTTTACCTCGCGTTACATCGTCGACGAAAATAGGATAATTCTGTTGTTTTCCAGAGTATCCTAGACAAGCTGAGTGCGGGGAAACCCGCGGGAAATAATGAGGACGACAGAAGCAGCGATGGAATACCCGAGTCGGTAGTGGAAGACGAGCCCGGAAAGACGTTCGATGCCCCGAGCTTCAGTGACAGTTCCAGTGAAGATGAAGATGAGGAAATACCTGGTTCTTCGAACGGGATCAGTACAATGAAGAAATCGCAAGTTGGTTCTGAATCCAGTCGGTCCACGGAAAGAAACGCCATGAAAACAAATGCTTCCTCTAGAAGTCGAAAGGTGCCTCTAATCTTGCATTACTTCGATCGTCTTTATCTGAACACGTGTTACACAGACTAGTCACGGTGCTCGGAATTATCTCGCCAGTTCGCTGTACGATTTTGAAGAGTTGAAAAAGTAAATTACCGTATTCACTCTCTCCTTTTTCCTCAAAATTGAGACAGAAAAAGGCGGGTGTGCCTCGTAGGCGGGGATACAATTTTCAAATTTTTTTAGGAGTTTCTGGGTGCGTCATACTTCATAATGATGTTACATTTTGGACCAACTCTGAAAGAATGCGGTTTTTTTAATGAAAAAGATTGAAAATTAATTGAATTTTGTTTGAATTCATTTCCTTATTCAAATTCGGGTGTTTCCTATTGTTGAAATATTCCAGTTTTAAGGTCACTAAAAATTGGGTGTGCGTCTTATTTGCGGATGGGATTTTTTCAAATTGTGTAGAAGTTATAAACAAATGCATCGTATGTTGGAAAATTTCCGCCGACAAGCAAAAGCTTGAAGTACTTCAGTGAACTCTTGACAGAGGAAGAAACGTAAAATTTCTAACTTCTTTAAAGATTGTCAGTCTATACTGATTTTTCAAGCCCGACAATGACCCGAAAGCTGATGTCTTCGGAGAATATGATGATTATGTTAGTCACACTATATTGTACTGAAGTCCGATTATCCATTCTTATCTGGGTTTACTGATGTTAGCGTCATGCCGTTACTCTTTTCTAGGTTTTCTTCGATTCTCTTAGCCATCAGCCGGTTTTTGTCCAAAAATAGTTATTCTCCGGTTTTCTCGGTCCACAGGGGCGAGAAACTTCCATACGCCTAAATTACGCTTCAAAATTAGGTGCAAAAATCTGATAGGTCCCCGTGAATTCATGAAAAAGTCGCTGACGGACTTCGAACGGTGTACTGCAGTATAGAAATGACGCAGAGGAAAGATGAAGTGGACCGAGAAGCTGCTAGAACAAAATATTGCAGTCATATTTCCGAATAAAACGACGTCAATCAATCGGCGGCCTTGGATTCTGTTGATGTCTTTTCTAGACGGTAAAACCCGTACGTGGTCACGCTACGACTTCGGCAGTTCCCTAGAATTATTTAAAGTGCGCTATATTTTCAGAATTTTACTAGATTCTTCGTAATTTTTTTCACTGTTGTTCCTCAGTGAATGTAGGGGAAAGTAATTAGAGCCGTCGTACTATTCTTATTGTAAATGAATGAATGAAGATCAATTTTCTGAATCTCGCCCCGAGCCGGGCGATTACTACCGGAATTATTCCCTGCATGGCTTTGACATATTTGGGGAATGATTTTTGGTGATTCCACTCTGGGAAAAGCGCTTCAAAATTTCGGGGTTCATGATCATTGCGTGCATTTCCAATGTTAAATCAATGGTAAACACTTGAATGTGTACAATTTTCAACATAAAATTAGGGATTTAAAATTGTTGAGTGAAAAATTGAAGTCAGTGAGACTCCGATGCGGACGTAATTGGTGCATCAAGAGTGTCCATAAGTCGAAATGTCTCCAAGTCGAGTGTCATTTTCCCTTTGACTTACACTATATAATTTTTGATTGGTGTTTTATGTAAAAAAAATACTCACCACAATTGCATGAAAATAAAAATTTTCTCCAAATTCATACTGATTCAAATAAATATATCCCAACACAATATGAGCATTTGGGGAATTGAATACTGACACATCTGTACAGTACATAGAAATGTTGGCATTCTCTGTAAAAATAATATTCAAGTGAAAAAGAGAGAAGGAAGTCCCTTACCCCTCCCCCGTTTCATCCGTATTTCAAATGCTTCACTTCATGCACCACAATTTCGTATTGCAAAAAAAAAAAAAATGTCCCTCTCTATGTTACATCGCGGCATTTTATTTCTCGTCTCAACAACCCCACCTCACTGTACAGTAATTCTGAAAAGTTTTTGCCATGAGCTTAGGGAATTTCACAAGTTTTACAGACAAGAATATGAACAACTTCACCCTTATTTCCAAATTTCACTTTTTCAAGAAACGCGGAGTATCAATCAACTGATTGCTTTGAGGTCTGCATTTTTTTTCTTTTTTCTTACGTGAAAAGATTTCTTATGCGAGTCACTTTTTCTGCCTAAAAATATTCGCAATGCGAAATTTTCTTATTGCTGTTCTTTCGTATTACAGTACTTGCATCTTACTCTCCAATTTGGTGATAAAAGAGGAGCTGTGCGTCTTCGAGTTTTAATCAACGGCGGTTTTAATTTTACGGATTTTTTAGTTGTTCCTTGCGAAAATCGTTATATGCTGGAGTGCGTGGTTAAAAGAATGCTTAAATTTTTACGTTCATCTTCAGCGTTTCTGGTTCCGTTTTCGTCTCGCAGGTTTACAGTCCAGAACCGGTGGAGAAAAGCAAGGAATCATCCCGGAGGAAACAAGTGCCTAACGGCAGCCGCCAAAACTCAACCAGAAGTGTAGCTTCGAACCCTCCGTCCCGAAAGCGTCGCGCCACCACGTATGAAGTGGTTGATGAGGAAACAGTTGACAGTGTGATCGACGTGGACGAAGAATATGGTCGTCGCAAGGTCAGAACGAGTAAGCGAAGAAGTGGAAGAAGGTGATGTCCTCGAGAAGACAAAAAAAAGGGAAAGGACCTCAAATAACTATTCGAGTAGGATTAGCGAAGTCGTGTCTTCATCGTGGTGGCGGTGCCTGTCGTACCTTCCCCGTTCGGCGTATGTGATTTAATGGCGAGAAATTCCGCGAAATGTTTTATGCGCGATCAACTTCGGTGTTTCGTGTTCAGTCTGTTTTCCCCCACCCACATTTCAGACTTATTTCAATTACCGTATCTACGCGACCATAAGACGCCGGTTTTATTAGATTTTTATTAAGAAAAGTTCGGGGTGTGCCTGGAGTTCATTTTAAATATTAAAGTGGTCAAAAGGTATGTTATGCCTACTGTATAACATAACATTTTTCTCGATAATTCTTCGATTATTGGTTCGCTTCTACGGATAGGGTTCCTCCATGATCTGAATGAAGTGCAGAAACCTGACGATACAAAAAGCTGGAGTGAGAAAGCTGTTTTCCTGTGTTAAATGTACCGTCGATTGACTTGTTAGTCATAATTACGCTTGCTAGGGCAATTCATGTGAAATTAAATTTATACGAGCCTTATAATAATTTTCCGATTTTTTTTAGCAATGTACCTGTAATGTGTTCCAAGTGGAAATATCGTCTGAATTGGTGCACTTTCGTCCGATCTTCAGCTTAGTGCGTCAGAGTTTCTGTCAAAACGTGAATTGGGGGAATGTACTTTTGAAATTAGACAGGAAACATTTTATTCGAAAGGTTGAGGGAGATTCAGGTACGTTTACAGTCTGTGGCCTCTTATATTCGCGTAAATACCGTATTCCTATCCATCTGGGTAATTTTATTTTCGCGGACTTCTGAGTTTTGAAAACCGTCAAAATCACCAAACTGCATCTAAGGGGAAATCAAGTAGCCGTTCAAAACCACTCATCTGCTAGATTGCGGATTGCGAAACCATGGAAGAAAGGTTCGATTATTGTTGTTCGGAAATGTCGAGATAAAGAATTCGAGATATATGCGAAAATTGGTAAAGTGCTCATAGACGAAGTATTTTTGTACGATAAAAATTTTAGCGAGTCTTTCGTGATGGCGAGTAAAACCAAAGCATTTAAAGCTCTTTGAGCGAATATTACTTCGAGTATCCAAGAGTGGAAATCAAAATGAGATCGAGAAGTACGTTCGTTTTCGTTTCCTTCGTGTTTCATGTGCGCAAGAGTGGATGTGTATTATTGTACCACGCATTATTTCTTGGGTTCTACAGTGGACCTTAGTTAAAATGCCCCGTTCCCAATCCCAGTTCGAAACTGGAAATATTTTTATGACCAGGCACTTGTTTTGTCGTGCACGGATTTGTTCAAGTTGGAACTTCTCTCTTTACAATCGATTACTTGCCTGGAAACTTTCTTGCCGAGAAATGAAACGGGACCTGGTTTTTTTTTTATCCACGGGTTTAGGACGCCGCGTTGACGAACCGACGAAGTTTAATTTTGAAAAAAGCATGCGGCTGTTGCGACAAGTTGAGTGATCTCCATTAGTGTCCGAATACGCTTTTGTCGAAAATATTGAATGTTTTAAATTAAGAGACAAAATTTGATGACGCTTGAGTGCAACGCTGACGTTGTTCGACTCACGATACGCTTTGTGTCGGAAGAGATTCATCTCTTGTCCGGTAATTATATTAGGTGCGAATGTAAATTCTGGCTCTTGAAGTGATTTTTCGATTCAACTTTCGAATTTTTTTTCAACGATGCTCACGCTTTTCCGAAGAGCGGCGAAACTGGCGAAAGAACGTGAAAAGTTTTCATTCGTACGAATTCCGCTCCGGGATGAAATTTACGGGTGTTCCATGGAAAGCGCTTGCGCTGCTCCTGGTGTCTATCGCGGGTGCGTTGGGGAGCAGTCCTCAGTACGACTGCGAATTTTGCAAGAACGATTTGTGTCCGGAGATTGACTACGCGTTGTGCGCGAAGTTGTTGAAGACCGTGAAGTCGTTGAGCCTGTGCACTGAATGCGGATTAATGACTCGATCTACGATCCGGAAGGGGAAGTTTATCTGCGAGGATTGCTTTCCGGAAATCCACACGCGATATGTTTTGTTCTGCGAGATGTGCTCTGTACATCTGGATGATTGACAGCGATTTGTCTCTTGTGTCTCGGCCTTTTTTCTCTCGACTTTTGGATGAAGTTATCCAGGTTTCTTCCTTGATTTTGAACAAGTGTCTTTTTTTTTCTGAGGACTGTTGTGTGAATGGTCAATGATTTCGCGCGATTGGGGTTTGTCCTGCTAATGAAAATGTTTTGTGCGAGTTTCACACAGTTTGTTGGCTGATTTCTCACATTTTTCTACGTCGCGCGTGGATTGCGTGATAATTTATTTTTGTCGATCGTGAGCTCGTTATTCGTTTTTTGAGACTTCCCTTTTTTTTGCAGGGAAAAGGAATATTGCTGGCGATGCCATTATGAATATTTTTGTTAAAGTTCTGAATGGTCCTGAATGTTCTGTGGCCCTGGTGAATTCTTCAACTGTGTCGGAGCTCAAAGAGAAAGTTTGTGATAAGCTTGGCGTTCCCTCCGCCCTTCAGAAAATCGTGTACAAGTGAGTAATGTTCATTATCTCTGTTCGTCGAAAGGTTTCCGGGTGCGATCGGACTTCAGTACTGAGTAAAGTACTGAAGTCCGAAGCAACTTGATTGATTGCAGCGAAGAGTCTGCCCTTAGTCTTTTTGTGTGTTTTAATTTTTTTTGAATCAAGTGGTACGTACGAAGTTCGGATTGATGTCCTCTTGAGTTAATTACTTCGGTATTTTTATAAGTTAGCATGTGTAAATTTGGGTAGTTTGATGTATAGTAGATAACTTCATTACGTTCCAGTTGAAGTGAGTGAATTTTTGGTTGATGGGGTGCGAAGATATTTTGTCAACATTACAGTGAAGGCGAATAAAGATGAAAACTCGACCAGGAATTTTTCAAGGGGAGTGCGGAGGCATATTCAATTATCGATCAATTGATCGGTGTACGTGTGTTTTCAGCTTTCAGCGGTCCTTCGGTTTGTGAACGTTCCATGGGGAAGTCGATTAACCGAGTTATATAAAGTTCTCACGATGACTGATTGAATACTCCCAAAAGAGTCTCTTAAAGAATTAAAATTATGCAGTGTGGATGTGGAATAACTGCTGCGTTCCAAATTTCTTCACAGAATTTCCCTCATATTATCCGGATTAATATACTGAATGAATTTTTCCCGAAACCTACGAAAAACATAAAAATTTTGGCGATATTACATGAATAGGGAAAACTGCTCAAAATACGATTGGCAAAAAGCTTTTTTACTATATGAAAAATTATGTTGGAAGGCTGATCTCTTGAAAAAATAACGATCTGTTTGATGTAAAATCTCATTTTGTACAGTCCGTTATCCGAAGCGAAATCATAGTTGATCGCGCGAAAAGTGGATTACAGATCTACAGTACCTCTCAACAAATTTATTTTTTTCTTCAGCCATGGTGGATGGGATGTTTTTCTCATCGTCAAGGTGAACCGTGTTCTTGCAAGTGCAAGCATCCGCTTTTTTCTTCTTTTTTTTTTGAAGCTCAAAAACCAGAAGGTTGCTTATATTTGCATATTTATCCGATTCGCGTAAACAGAAGCATCATTTTCATATTTATCGTGTCAATAGAACAAAGTATATGGGAATACGGTACTTCGTCTTCAGAAATATCTAAGCATCACTGTTTATTATTCAAGTAATACGACATCGAATTAAAATATGCTGATGAGGAATGCCGTGAATGTTACAGCCTTTGTTCACCTTGTCTTGACACAGCTAATGCTTTTTTCGGGAAAACCGTATGTTCCTGGAAATTCAGAGCTCTAGGAACGTAAGGGGGTTCCTATATTCGCCTATTATTTGCATTTCAATTTTGTGTACGAATTAAATCCTGGGTGGTAGTTATATTCGAGCGGTGAACACGGTCGTGAAGTTGAACTAAGGTTTATCTTCATCGTTGGTGTATTTTGACTATGAATTTCCAGGGGACGTACATTATCCAACGAAAAGACCGTCGTGGAACACGGGGTAGAAGACGGTGCGAAAGTTCACCTCCTCGTGGCGAACGTGAAGCCACAACCCCGAGCACCGGACGCACCTTGGGAAACGAGCGACACTTCCGCCCTGTGGACGCATTTGCACGAGTTCCTTAAGCCTCGGTTTCCGGAAGCGCAGTGCGTGAAAGTCAGCGTCGACTTTTTCAACGAACTCCGGAACATGCTCGACACTCTGGGTCTGGACGACTTGGAGCGACTCGCCACGTGTTTGCTGCAAGTGGAGAACAATAGTGGAGAAGCTGGTGGTTCGTTGTGAGCTTTTATCTTATTCGCTGTGTTGAAGAAGACATAACGAGAGAGAGAGAGAGAAGCAGAGAAAGGTCGTCGAGTGTCTGGGTTGTGTGGATGTATGTTCGTGTGTGTTGATCTACGGTGTTGCTAAAGAGTGAACGCAGGGTTTTGGTATGTGATGGCTGAACAGCAGTTGGGGGGTTATGAGGATGCTGATTTGAACCAGAAAACTGCTGCCGAAATCGTTTTTACGCATCTTCGTAAAGGTGAGAAAAAATACGCGATCTTTGTGAAAAAGTTGATATTTTCTCTCCAAAAGAATTTTCAATCGAAATTCGGTTTTAAGTAATGCGAAAGTTGTTCCTAAAATTTTAAGACTATTTTTGAAATGATGCTTTTCTGTATTCAAAATCAGTCTTTTATTAATGGTCATTGCGTTGTGAGCTGTTAGATGCTTTGAGGCAATTTCAACCTTTGGAATCACGCGCATAAAAAGCATCAGCCGTGGAATATTACTATTGATTGGCTCTTCGTCGTTAACGTTTGGACATTATCCTCAAAAATTATGAACTTTACTTGGCTGAAACGCTGAAATCGCGGACTTGCTCATAGGTGAGCCATAGTTCTGTGCGTAGAAATAGTGTGCCTTTAAAGAAAAAAGTTTACCTCCGTGAATCAATCCAAATTCAAATTTGAAACTTAAGGTGCATCTCTTTCTAACATTGGGAAGGTTGACGAAACATTTACAAAAGCTATTTTACTTTGAATTCTTGTATTTAATGACGTATTCCGTTTATTTTTCAATTTTCAGTGCGTCCTGAATGGAAATTTGAGCATTTCTTTCATCATTCGTTGAAAATGATTTGCTTCCGAGTTACTTCGTATAAAGGAGATTTCACTGAGACGGTTGTACCGGTGTCAAGCAGTGTTGGAGGCATCAGTCCATTGGATATTGGACGTTTTTGCTCGGCTTCCAATTCAAACAAGTGAGTATTGAACGATTATATGACTCAAAAATAAGCAACCCATGGTTCTTCCGCTCTTAGCCATTATTGAAATAAAGATAGTGACATAAGAAATGTTGAGTATCTTCCGGTAAATGATTACTTCTCCAACACTTCTATAATCGGTTTCTGGAAACTAGAAAGCTGGCAGAATCACTTACTGTACATGTTTGAAGATCTAAGTCACCTAAGACCTTTTAAAGAGATTGAAGTATTCATCATCATTGTTGGGGAATTTGTACCATACTTGAACAGTCATTCGATACAAGTATGTCAAAATTGAGCGCTTCCTCTCACATAATTGCCCAATGAGCCACAAAAAATTTTTTAGTTGTTCCAAATTTCTGAGTGACTTGCTGTGATGACAGAGCATTTTTTTGGACGGGAGAAGTTGGTCACCCCCGGAACTGACGAACTGCTTGCTCGTGAAGCGGGAAATTCAAAAACGATAATTTACTGCAATAATTTGGAAGTTATAAGGAGACGATTGAAAATTTATTTCACCGCTTTTTTTTTTCTTTATCAACCGAAGTTGTTCTCCGGTCGGATCTGTTCGGAAGCTAACTTATTCAGTTTGTGTCTGTTTAAATGTTCGGCTGTACGAGGGTCCTGACAAAAGTTCGTGCAATCATGCAGAAGATGTCATACAATTGAGCTGAAAAAAATTTATTCTTTAGGGAAAACATATTCTTTGGCTAAAAAAAAAATCAGTCCTGTTCGGCATTTTGTTTCAATCTTTTTCAAAATTCACCCCAGCAGAGTTTTGCTCTCCACTCAAAAGATGAGGGGCCCTTCCTGCATTTTTTTTTGTAGCCCAGCTTTCCCCTCAGAATTCTTGAGATCAACGTGGCATTCTTTCTAAGGGTTGCCTCCAGATCTTCCAAGGCAATTCCGCCTTTTTCATTTCAAGAATTCTGAGGGGAAAGCTGGGCTACAACAACAAAAATATGCAGGAAGGGCGCCACATCTTTTGAATGGAGAGGAAAACTCTGCTGGGGTGAATTTTGAAAAGCATGGAGACAAATTGTCAAGCACGACTGATTTTTTTTTTGGGCCAAATAATATGTTTTCCCTAAGGAACACATTTTTTTTCAGCTCAATTGTATGACATCTTTTGCATGATTGCACGAACTTTTGTCAAGACCCTCGGATGTTTCAAGGTTCAATGTTGCACTTCCAACAATCTGCAGTCACTAAAGAGGCTACGTCTTCTGAAGCATCAATCAAAATTTCTACGAAATCCCCTTTTTCAGGATCCTGATGGCGATGATAACGGACGACTCGGACGTTTTATATTATGAAATTCAGGATGGATTCTTGCCAACAACACCGAAGCTCGCCGGAGTACCCCGCAATTAAGGCTTCGAAATGACTCGCTATCGGATACTGTATGTCGTCACATTAAGGGATGTCAAATCAACGTATGATTCACATTATCTGCTCTAACAAAAACCGGGATGGCTTGTGGCACTTGGGAGATTTAATAGCTCCCAAAATAAATCGTACTCGGAAAGAACTTGATGTCACTGTGGGATAAGATGCCCTTGCGAAGTTTATTTCGAGTTCGACGTGTTGTCGGTGAAACGATTCATGCAACCTTGCCAACCGCGTTGGTTTTTGTCTTAGCCGCTTGTTCTGATCGAAGTCCGTCTTTTAGACGTTTGTTTAGCCGCATGTGATGAAAGAAATTGTTCTTTCTTGGCCGAAATCAACTTCAGTTCACTATGAATTATGCGTGTTTTCGTGTAGGCTTTTGAGTATCTTGCTTATTCTCTTTTTAGATGAAGTTAACTCAGGTTTTGTTCCGCGCGAATTACGCGCGTTGGAAGAGATTCCAATGGCGCGCTCAGTGCAAACGAATCGTGCGAGACGACGGGTTGAAGAAATCTCTGGAAAGCACCGGAATTCAGGTGGAAGATGCTTTGCAGTTCGTCAACAGTCGCATGCAAGGGCAGATCATTCCTCTGTAAGTTTCTTCGTGACGGAATTATTAAATCTTCCAAATTTACTTATCAGTGGGATCTGCGTTGAACTGGTCCCAACGTGGGTCAAGTGGTTAGTCCGTAAAATGCTATCTGGACAACTTCTTGTGATTTCGTGTTTGATTGCCATTTTCAAGCGCATCTTTTGAAAACATCCTCCAAAAAAATTACGATGTAATCTCTTGAAACCTCATATGGCTCTTTGGCTAACACGTCTAATTGAACTGTTCTACTGAACGAACTTGACGTGGTTCTTGACGAACCTAGATTGTTTTGAAATGTACCCTATGGGATTTTATTTAGGACTTGGAAAAAAGTATTATTATGAAAAAAAAATTGTTGGAATGAGATTTTTCTGTATTAGGAACCCGTGCTTATTTAAACAGTTCACGTTTTGAATTTCTCCAGTAGTATTTATTTTTGCGGATTCTGTTTTGCTGGGTGAAATCGCTGTCTGATTTGAAAGGGTAAATTACTAGTGATCCGTGAACGATGAATTTACAGTACTTGTGGATACGACACGAATGAATTCTCTGAATTATCCTGCCTTATTGCCATCCGTCCGATTTCTGTGCATTTGCTGGCACCGGATCGCAGTCTTTTGGTTTTTTTTACACAATAGATGAATATTATCATTTTGATTAGGCTGAACCCCAAGGATTATCCATTCACTGAGGAAATCCCGGATTATGGGAGCAGTGCACTTCATTCTTCAGAAGCTTTCGACATAAACAACTCGTCAGTCGGTGTTCCAGGAGAAGGTTTGACGCAGATTCAACGCTTGACGAGAACTCTCGTGCGGATAGGGTATCCCATCGAGCTGGAAAATCAAATTGGATCTTTTCCTAAACAAGGATATTTCGAGAGCGAACTACGCAAGTCAGTTTGTTGAAATGACGTCGTGGTTTGAATGTAGCTTTTTGAAATCTAATCTAAATTTTAGGTACACCGAACACGCGCAATTCTTCGATCCTACGCAAACCAAATTGCCTAGAGAAGCTGAATCTGTAGAAGATCTCATGGGATACAGGAAGGGAACGACTATTGGAATTAGAAAACGCCTTGAGTACGGAGTGCCTCTGAAGCAACGAGGGTGAGAAGACGTGCTTTTTTCTGTGAAGTTGCTAACTTGAACTCCGATTTTTCTCGAATTAACAAAGCTAGCCTTCTCTAGGAAATTAGACAATGCAACCGATGCGTCATTAGTTTTAGCATTTATGGTATGCAGTGCGCTCAAGATGCTGGATGTCGACGTTTTCCTACATCGTGATTTTAATTAGGTTTTATGGATTGAATTGAGCTTTTCTTTGTTGAACATACGGGGATTTCATCAAAATAAAGAATTTTTGAACTTCATTTCCGTACAGAGGTTGAAATACTGTTACAAGATTTAAGCGCGCTCGAAGTTCACGTAATTAGCTTTTCGACGATCTTCAATGCTGAACTCTCGTTGGCAATGGGTTTACTCGAAGATGCGTTTGAGTGATTCCCGAGTATCTTATCGCTGTATTTCTGGGTTTGTTATATTTTTCAAACGGTGTGGAATTTCGCACTTTTTTCCTGATTAGATGAGGCTACGATTCTAATTTGTTCTGTTGTACGGGTGACGCCATTATAATTTCATCCGTGCTCTTAATTGGCAGCGAAATCATGGTGGAGGCGATGCTGCGGATGTGTTCCATTGCGTTATCCCGAACAAATCCTTCGGTGAAAGACAGGATTACGTTGCGAAACGTAGACATTAATGTTCCTGTCGATGTGGAGAAGAACGCAAAAATTGTTCTGAGGCTTCGCGGGGACAGAGTTGTAATGTCCAAAGAAGCCATTTCGCCGTGGGCAAACGTCTCGGACGTTTTTGAGACTCAGGAGAGAGCATTGCCGGAAATTTATCCATTGGGCCCGTTGGCGTTCTTCAAAACGACGAATGTATACAGGGACTCGAATTTCTTTCGTAAGTTGGTTTTTTTTTCTGGTAATCTATTGCCGTCTGTCTTGCTTGAGGAACCCGAACTACTTCGTGCTAAATTGTTTTTGGAGGCGCTAGTCTGTTTTGAAGTATCCATGAATTTGTGACAGAAGGAAGCGAAACTTGTGTTCGCTATTTTCGTCACGATTATGGTCACCTTTCGTAATGTACGAGTAGGCAAATGAGGGCAAGAAGTCAAATGGAAATGAGTTCGTTGGTTCTATCATAGAGAATTTTGCATTCACGAATCTGAGTACTGTACAGTATTTCAAAACCAACCCATTGATACGGAGTTGCGGCTTAGCGCCGTTATTGTAAGTGGTTGACCCATGCCAAGTACAGTAGTTTGAGATTCTCACGTTTTCCAGCTGAACTAATCTAGTTGGTTTCTGATGTTTAACACTTGCTGATACAGACAGACTCTCTGCTCCAGCAGAAACGCTTCGTGGTGTGGCACAGGAAGGGTATTGGTCTTCATCCTTTAAGACTTCCTGTTAACGTAAACTGGTTGAGCCTTTAAAATCAGATTCTCTTTTTTATCTTCTCGAGTATTGCAGTAGAAGCGAGGACATCCTCCTGAACACCGTATTTGAGTTCGAACACTTGGGAGAGCACCGATTCACATTTTTGTTTCTGAATGTTCATGTTATATTTTTAGCTCTGGCTCCGAAGACACCGTTCAGTAACGTCCACACTGTGTTCAGCTTATATGATGACCCGAACTGCGAATGGGATGTTAGCCAAAAAATCGGTCGGGCCTTGTTGCATTCTTTTGGATGGGCGGTGGCGAATGCTCGACACAAATTTGGGGTGATCCGCGATTTTACCTCTATCGACGTTCAGAAAGTTTGAACTTCTTGAATAATTTCAGGAATCCGTGAAAGAATTGCCTCATCCTGTGGCTGTGCAAGTTGTTCATACAGATGGACGTGAATTCACGTTCGGTTGCTTTCAGCTGAATACACTGGATCTTCGAGATCAGACCTCGGCGAAAAATTTGTTCTGGTATCTACCACCGTTGAATTTATGGACGAAGTGCGGATTTCGTGAAGCTGCACCGTTCATCGAAGGGTTCAATCCACAAGTGATGCAAAACTTTTTACCCCTGTTTTTGAGTGGTGTGAGGAGTTGAAGATGAAGTGTTGATTTATGTTCACTTACGCTGTGAATTTATTTAAATCACGTGACCGAAAATCTTGATTGATGTAGAGCGGTTGAGTTGCTCTAGCTCAACTTGTTGGGGTCATGGCTGTGTTCACGTTAATATTGTACTGTTCTCGGATTACCTGTATATAGGTACAATCCGAAAATTTTCTCTTTGAAGATTTGCATTTTTTAATTAAATTTCCTTGTTCATCGGATTCTCCATCGTATTAGACGGCACTTCGATGATCGCCACCCACATTGCTAAGTTATTGGGTTACATCTAGCAGGCAATGCATTTCCATCTGAAGAAAATCTTACAATGTTGGATCAAACATTGTTTTACGATACTATGGATTGCATTTCGTGAAACTTCAGAATTCTCTCGGCTGTTATTGTCATGCCAGGAGTTCTTCGTGTAACTTCTGCATTGTACGAGCTTCTTTTACCATGAAAAAGTGAGAAGATGTATATACTGTATAGTAATACTGTAGTAGATGTATGTACACTTGTACAGTATAGTAATCCATAGTACAATAGTAGATAAGCAAGCATCTAGAGGGACAACTTGGAAAAATAAGGCGAATGAATCAATAAGAAATATGCGGTTTTTTGGTGTCAAGGGAATCGCTGTGCTGAGAACAGATCACGTCTATAACCAATTCATGCGCTTTTTACACCTTCCGGCTAAATTCAGATGCAACCTCCCCTGTCTTCTTCCACCATTCCTATTGCAATTGGGTATATGGCTACGGGAAGTTCACACGAATTTTCTACGCCCGATCCTGTGATTCACATTTCGAATATGACGTTCCATTCCGAGTTCGACGGTCGGAAGAACTAGAATGTAGCGTACTGTAGTAGTATTCGTATTTAATTGCATTGCGCAAAACCTGGTGTGGACTTAGTACGTAGCGCATATGACGTTCAACTTCAACCTCCATCCCACTCGAAGGCGGAAGCCGTTCGTGAGGCCGACTTCATTCTACCGCGATGTCAGCGAATGGTTCCCTTTTCTTGATTCGACGCATTTGTCCAGAGCGGTGTTACACCTGGTCCGCGAAGTTTTTGCCTGTCCGCGGGAAACTTTGGCCACATACTAAATTAAAAGAAGGTAGTACAGTATGAAGTGTGTTACAGGTATCCGAAATTTTTCTGACAAATGCAGTAAGTAGCAACTGTCTAATGAATGAAAGTCGGCTTCTCTCGATAATAAGTTATTTCCAAGTTTTCAATCCAAGAAGCCTTCCTTGTAATGATCCCTTTACGTTCTTCAGCTTTACATTCATTTAATAATTCCTTCGTACTGCATACTTAGTTCCTGAATTTTTTGTGATGCAAGTGCTGTTCTGAGTACTTCATGGCAGATATTGAATTGCTATTCTGCTGGTCCTCAAAAAATTGTGTGCAACTTTGCCAGACCATAAAAGGATTTTACATCAATGTTTACTTGTCCGTATGCTGAAAAAGGTGAACATCAGTCCACAGCAGCGTTCCCCAACCTTTCTTGGCCGGCAAATTACAATGAAATTTGTGTAGACCGGTGAATTCCAGAATACTTTTCTCTAGACCTGCGCAGTTTTAAAAATGTTTGCAGAATTTCAAGTTCTGCTTGAAAGGCACGTGGAAGTTTTCTGCTTCAATCAGGTGAAAATTTCTCTTTTCTTTCTTCTTCACATGATTTCAGCTGCAGTTGCCTTCCAGACATTTTAGGTAGAAACAAGACAGAACGTTCTTCAACTTATGGTGCAGGAAATGTTCCGCAACCTGCAAAACCAGTTCCGCGAACCGGCGCACACTGGTCTAGAGCCTTCTCGTGATACGTGAGTCACCGAACAACTACTGTACAGATATCCACGGCTTCTTTCGTGAAAATAATGAAGACGGAAAATATTTCAGCAAACGTTTATTCCACTCATCTCGTTCAACTTCCCGACGAGACCAGAAGTATGATGCAAAAGTACACGGTGAACATGGAAGACAACAGAGTACACACACGACTCGATATCCCGTTCAACAGACACGACTTGTTGAAGATTGCGACCCCTGCCTACCATACCTCTGCAATCGAAAAATTCCGCTCAGTCTTCCTCTGACGTTCGGTATATCTGAACGTAGGACGGCGCAGTCCGATATAACGGATGAATCACACCCGGTGATGAGGCAACTTAACATCAACCGGATGAGATACACCCGCTACCGTTGTCTCCGGACATCGAATCTGAAGAAACCGACCGTAAGTTCATTGCTGTCGGATGAGTGTCGTTCTAGTCACAGATAACCCTTCACAGTGCACTAGAACGCAACCCACGCACAGAAATCGAACTCAATCGGGATTATTACGTAACTGATCTTAATCGAATTCGAGAAGCACAGTTTCACATCGCAACGTGGGATTTCCGGCATGCGCAAAACACAGCGACGATACCCTTGGTCGACCAGGCGCGTACATAATATCAATACGCAGCCTGGAATCCACCAAAGCTTCGTTGCTATGCACTCGAAGCGTCTCTCTTCAGGATCAGCATCCGGGCCTTGCAGTTGAGGTAACTTTTACTGTGATATGGTAACGTTAAAAATTCGCATCTCACAGCGAAAGCCCCTCGACGACAACAACCGCGTACCATCGAGATACATTACACCGCGTCTCCACAGCTGCTGGCAAACAGCGAATAGTCGAGTGCATTAAGCTGAATCTTTTGGTGCTACGTCCTTTGAACTCACGTGACGCCAAGAAGATTCAGCGAAGCAAACACGACGCTCTCGGGGCCAACTCCCAGCTACGACAACCGAATGAGCAACACCGATCGCTATGGCCTTGCTGATCTAGCTTTATGGCAGCAGGAAATCACAACAGCTATATCAGCAAAACCGCAGAAAACGGAATGAAAACCTAATCTCAAGTCTCAAGCGCACACGACCGAACTCGAAGATCTCTTCTCCGAGAATGACACATTTTCCATGGAAACGTAGGACAAGGAGCGTTTCCGAAGGACAGGGAGGACTCCTTCAATTGGCCATCGAAGTCCGCCAATCACGCACCGTCCTGCTCCCTACCTCCATCTCTCGGAGAAGAAACACAACCATTTCAAGGTCGTGTATAGCGTGCATAGTGATACTAGAGATACTCGCAGGGAAGGGGTGATGAACAACAGCATTGTCCTTCCCTTCCAGGTTCGACGGAAGCCCTTTTCAAGGACAACTTTCATTGATGTGTCCTGTTTCCATCTGAGCTGGGTTTTTCCCGGAAACGGGCGTAAAGTAATAGTGCTGCAGTTCAATATTCGAACTACAATATTTGAATGATGGAAACTATTTACAGTATTGTGCTGTACCTGCTCCCGTTAGAATGAAATCTCGTCTGAGACTGAAATCAGCTCATGCCGTATTCTTGCTCATTTTTTTCGCAATATATGTTTCAATTCCGTCTCTCGAAATTTTGGCAGAATTTGAAATGAGTAGATTCAAACCATTCGAATTCGACTCAAATTCTAAATTAATCTGAATTCAACGAAAAAAGTATTGTATTGAACATTCGGATTCGCCTGCTGCCTTCTTACCCATCAAGTCGTCTTCTTCGTCTTGAGAAAAACAGCCTGACCACTAAGGTTTACCAGAAAATAACCACATGGCAAAAATACTCATTTCTTCGATGCATGCAATGATTTACCACCTTGTGATGGCTTTTTGAATCTTAAATGACGATCTCATGAGCAATTTTAGCAGATTTTAAACAGCATTATGCTTCATCTACAAATATACGTCAATTTGAAGGTTGAGGATTGGTTGGGAGAAAATGCAGATGAGGTAATGCTAGAGGAGATTAGGACGAATAATACAAGTCAAATGTGTTTTCAACTGCGATAATATCAGCAATTCTCCCCATAGAATGAATATAATTGCCACGGAATATCTTCATCTCGATAGAAAAGTGTTTGTGTGTTTTATATTGTGCTAGAGTTCAGAATTGATAAAATACCTGGGGGAAATGTTTCATGGCTAAGGAAAATTTTTGATAGAATCTCTGATTATACAAAGACGAGATGATTCATGGGAATAAATGTATCAGAAAATTATTGAGATGGAAAAAGCATGTGACAATTACTGAGTGGATGGGATAGCAGGTGTGAAGCATTGGGATTAAAATACATTGCATACATTTTGAACATCAAGAGGCGCCATTTTCCCCATGCTTCGTTTTTATCGCTGTCAAAAGACAAAAATCAGTTTGCACAATATACCGTACTAACGTTAATACATTTTAAATATCCAGCCAAAATTAAATCGTGCTTTAATTGCTGAAGCGTAGAAGGATGCTGGGATGTCGATATACAGAAGAATCGCATTGTCCGTCTTCCTTCTGTTGCTCTCACATACAGGCAAGAATACTGTACAGTACCTCTTTTCTTCTGTGGGGAAAAAGGGGCAAATATCGGCTTTGGAGGGGTGGAGTAAACTTTTTCAAGGTTACGGAAAATCACTGGAGCAGGAACGTTTTTCTCTCAGATTTTCTCCTGAGATGTCATTCCTCTCCCCCATGGTTCGGCCCTATAACGGAGTACAGTATTTCAGAAAAAATGGGAATCATCAATTGACCGGGAACGAATACTGTATTGTGAATGCTGTAGTGTATATGAATACACCGTTTCTTGAGGATGCATTGATCCCTGAAATGATGAAAACTCAGTATTTAGGGTTTCGTTTAGCTAAAAGCGACTAGGATCTGGCAAATGTCCAACTATATCCATATAGGTTTTTCATGTTGCTTTCCATATAGAAGAGCATTCCCGCCATAATAATACCGTATTTGCCCGAGTACCACAAGCACTGGAGTAAGACGTGCACCAGGGTTTTTCAGTCGAAATTTCTTACAAAATCTTAGCCCTGAGTAAGAAGCACTTCGCTTTTTTTTTTGTCACTCTAAAAGTTGAATATTTTAAGATGTAGAATTGCTCCGTCAGTACTTGTCAGTATACATATATATTGATCCTCAATTCAGAAAATTTTCAATTATTTTCATTAGATTAAACTGGTTTTCTCTTTAAAACGTTTTCCCATCAAATGATACAAAGTTAACACAAAATTCGTGAACTTTTCTTTAAAATGTTTTCCAATCTGTGTTTGAAGGAAAAGAGCAGCATCCTGGCTTTTCCTCCAAAAGGGGGTGAAAGTTTTTTTTTCAACCATGTGAATAGTGAAAAGCAGAAAATGAAGCTAGTTTATTGATTAGTCAAAATAATTGCAACTTGCATCAAGGGATAATTTGATGAAGTTCTAGGCTTTCAAGAATGGTGGAGCCCAGATTGATTGAGTTCTATATACTGTACTGTCTTTGTATTGCTACCACATTTCACAATTGTCAAAAAAGAATTGATCTGCTAACTCAGATGAATTTTCTGGCCTATATTGGATTCTTTCCTCCACTTGTCAAAGATCAAGAATACCAGGGAAAAGTTCAGCACAGGGTTGAGGCAACTGAAAAAAAATTTTCAAAAATACTCTATTTGAAACGTGAGTTCAAATACTGCAATTTCAATATTGCCGTTTTGAAGTATTTTCTTCTGAATTTAAATTTTGAATTATGACAGTAACTGTTTAAATTCTCGCACAATCTCAAAAAAAAAAGTTCATAGCACTGTCATTTTCTTCCTATTCTTTCTATCTTTCTCACATCTCCCACAAGATTTATTTTCAACGTTCTTTTTCCCACCTCAATTACCCTTCTCAAAAAGAAATGCACATTGATCTCTTGCTAGTTGACAGTTTCATAAACCTCCATAATGGCCAAGATCTTCAACACAATTGACTTGAATATTTAATTAGAGTGAGAGACAGTCAATAAGAGGATATTGTATTGCGCGCAGATCTACCCGGAAATTCCAACGAGAAACCGATGAAAGTTTCGATTGGAACATCTTCGCATAATTCAAGAAAGCTTCACTGACATTGTATCAGAGTATGGTTAGTTGATTCAAACTTCTCTTCAGCAGATGGAACTACGCAAATATAAGCCGATAATTGCTGGAGTCATGTGCAATGATTGAAACACTCTAGTGTAGAAGATCCACGAGTCTTTCATCAAGACTGGATTCCGCGTGCCATAATTAGCTCTCGATTAGCTCAATTAATGTTAGATTTTATTCGCTCAATGGGTGCGCTGAAATCGGACCTGTTCCCGAATAAACCTTCGAAAGCTTTCAACAACGCCAAGGTTTTTCGCGGGTGTCGGAACCACGATGGAGGCCCTTGTCGGGATTCCGCTGGTGTGGAGCCTCGAAACCCTGCAGGGAATCCTGGGCTTCAAGGTCCCTTGAAATCCAAGTTGGATTTGCCCAACAAGTTGAAAAGGGAAGATCAGGTCGAGGCCATTCTGACGCGGACTGCGGCCCACAAACGAGCCCTGAGGGCCGGGGATTATTGGAACACTTGCGATGACCTGAAACGACGACTTCACGGACATATTCCGCCAAATATTGAACAGCAAGAGCCCAGGATTCCGATGACAGATCGAGGTGGCCTGGTTGGGCTTCTGAATATTGGAAACACGGTTGTTATGTATACATTTGGACCCATATATATATTTTTGACTTGAAAAAAATTATAAAACCCATCATCCACTGACGAATTTTTGGAGGGTGCCATATGAGAAAATAATTGCATGAACAAACGGAAGTGGAGAAAATACTGCAGATGGAAATATTGTATGTATAGGTGGATGCAAATTTTAGCAGAGTTTGACAAAATTCTATGACCAGGAAAAAACTTCCTCTAATGAAAAATTCCATATGTTGAATTTATGCGTAGCATTAAGTATTTGAAAGTAGTGACTGAAATTAGGTGTAGTCCTAAAGCCCCCCTAGGTCAAAAGCCCCTGGGAAAGCATCCCCTTGGTGCAAAGATTGGGGACTACTGGTATTCTTGTAACTCTTGATGGTAAGCTGCACCTTTCACCAGCAGACCCAGCACAAGGCCAAGTACCAATATGTTTGTAAGTTGAGTATATAAAGGGATTCCTCACCTGCAGTGGTCATCAGTGATTCTTTGAATGTCAAAGCATCATCACTTGCTGACTTCTGCAAAATCTACAGTTCATCTTGTTGATCCAATGGCTGGTGAACTTTGGATCATCAAAAACCAGAAGGGTGGTGAAAAGGCATACTAAAATGGCTATTTACTGTATATGCTCCAATAAATGCTCCGGCATTTATTTGCAATTTTCAATTTTTTCCCCAGGCATTCAATAGATACTGGCGTCTTTTAGAGACCTGCAATTATTTCCAACAGTTGTTGCTGGGTAACGTCAGGAGGAGAAAAAAAGGAAAAACAGGAGAATGAAATTTGGGGAAAAACTTGGATTTGCCATTGTTCATTAGAAACTGAGAAAGGTATGCTTCATAAAGTGCGGGAGAGAAAGGAATCCTTTGTTTTATACTTAAGACCAAGGTGTGAAGGAAGGGTCAATATGTGGGAAGGATTATTACAGGTCAAGAGAATTCCGGGAATTTTTCCTTCCCCCCCCCCCCCCCCAAAAATAGTAGCCAGGTCTCTTCTGGGACTGGGCTACTACTGGAAGCTGGCTACTATTCACTTGTATCCCCTCTGTGACCCGGCGTTTATAAGAGACCAGCCTCTATTAGATAGAAGGCATCTATTAGAGCAAATACAGTATTCATGGCTAAGAACACAAAGGCAAGTACTAGGTGCTGGGAATGTGCAAAAGAAGAAGGAGAGGAGATAAGAGGGCCACATGGAGAAGAAAATTATATTGAGAGCATCAGTGACACTGAGGAAGAGGCAGCAGAAGGCAATTTTGAAGATGATTATT